CTTAGCTGAGAAAAACAGCTGATACAATTATTTGCTTGGAGACATGGATACATTGTGTAAGAAGATATAAAAAAAAAACCACTTTAAATTTCAATCCTGATATAAAAAGTCAGTTTCACTCCTCCCACTTGTTTCCAGCTAGTTGCTAACAAGGTGACTGCTGGTGTCTGTCTGCTGTATTATGAGAAGTACTGCTTCTACATCCTGGCCATATGTGCTGTTGCATGTACTGGTCACTGCCAGTCCTGGCAGTAAAATGTCAGGGACAAGGTCACTTGACATGTGTAACAACCAGCTGCATTCAGCCTTACTCAGTGATTCTTAAAGGAAGTGAGACTGAGAGCTGTTCTGTTTCTGTGGCAGGGGACTTCAACAGTGGCATTAACTGATACGGTAAATATCTTCCCGTACTCTGTGGTTGCTGTTTTTAAGCTGTTATGTTGTATGTGCATGCTTGTGTGCACACTCACTGTCGGCAGATGAAGATTCTTTGCTGCTACAGCTATGCTCCCAGCTATTATCACCTGTACAGAGAACAAAACCACACACAAGAAGGCTGACATTAGGCCCAAGTCTGGAATTAACCAACTAACAGAATTAACAGGTAGTGCAACTTTTCTATGAACTGGTAGTTCGATCCCTGGCTACTCCAGTCTGTGTTCCAAAGCATCCTTGGGCATGATACTATGTACAGGTTGCCCTCAGTGGATTCAGTGCAGTGTGATTGTTAGCTAGAAAGCGCTCAGGCATGAAAGGAAGTGCTTGTATGAATGGGAAATGTTGTATAAAATGCTTTAAGTGCTCCAGTAGAGTAGAATTTGCACTCAATATTTTCATTCAGCATACTTTCTTGTATTTAGCTATCTAGCTTGCTAGTAGTAGTTGGATGACTGCAATTAAACAGACTGGCGAAGGTAATTAAATAACTAATCTAATTTATAACACAGACAACTTGCCAACATGTTGCAGTCACTCTGAGTCTACACTGATGGGTACTACACTTATTTACTACATCCCTTTGAAACAGAGAACTCTATATTTTGAGTTATCTTCTTATATCTTATATCTTATAAAGCAAGGTTGTTAAGTGCCGGTGTCATTTTGCAGATCAGTGATTGTCCTGCAGCAAAGATGTCACTATTTGAAAACATTTCATCTTTTATTCTAGCTGGACTTGGGATGCAAGTAGTTATGAAGAATGCAAGTTTTCTTGTCTTATATAGTTTCTCTGCTCATCTAATGCTGTGTGTGAAGTGTCTGCAAACTTACCAGGAGAGATGAGATGAAGAAAGGTATAACAGCGTACGTATTACCCCAGTTACTCAGAAACACAATGGTGCTGAGCATCGTGAAAACACTGAGGCTGATCTGAGTGATCTGAAGTAAAGTCAGGAAAAGGTGTCAGAAAATAAACCTAGAACAGTTGAATTTAATGATCTGGACAGATGAGTGAGTACTTTTGGCAATATAGTGTGTATATATAAACTAGTTGAAGTTGAAGACACACGCACGCACGCACTCACTCACACACACACACACACACACACACACACACACACACACACACACACACACACACACACACACACACACACACACAATACCCCCAGAGCTTTGGGTTCAGCTTCCAGGTATTTCTCTTTCCTGTGGATGTGTTTCTGGAAGGTGAGTGTGACCAGAGGACTTTGAGCTGGGCTGATGGCTTCTTCCACAGCTGGTACTTCTTCTGAAAGCAGCAGTGAAAAGATCTCTGTTACTGCTGCACAGTTTTGACTCAGCTCAGTATCCAAACTGTGCTGCTAAACTTCACTGCAAATCATAGCGGTATTCATATAAGTTTGGGTTTATATTAACATTATAACTGTGTTTACTCAGAGTCCAGAATCTCTGAGGGTGACAATAAAAGGCAGATTCCATCTTGGGGTTGTGCTGTACCGTAATAACAGTGCTGAGGGTATTTGTTGTTTCTCTGCTCACTAACAGCAGGCGTGTGTCGGCGCGCAGTCTATGTGCAGATTTAGCAGAAACAGCTGGATTGCAAACATGCCTCAGTATCAACACCGACATCTGGATTTTATCAGACGCACTGCTGCTCTCTCATTTCCCCTTAAACCAAAGCGGGGACATCGTAAATTTAGCACCGAGAAATAAGGTTGTTAAGTATTAAATAAAATCGCTCCTCTTGAGAATAAAGTCGAAATTCGCGATTAAAGCCAAAAATCTGCTTTGAGAAAAAAGTCGAAATGTGGAGATTACAGTTGTTTGGTTGTTTAGCTCATTGACATGATCAGCAGAAGGGTGCTGAAAAGATAGCGCGGAAAACTGCATCTGGTTAGAAGCAAAAATCCACAAAAACCTAGAAAAGCGGATTTGTACAAATGATGGTTACACCCGTGTTTGCACACGATGGGTGTTGTATCACAAGACGGCTGATCAGTTAGTTTCACGATGTTTTTTGTGTAGAGGCTACAGTTACAACAACTAAGCTACAAATGTCGATAATAATGTCAATAATATTTTTTCTAGTGTACCGCTTGTACACCATCGTTTAGATTTGAATTATTATATCGATATTTTACCTGCCATGATCACAAGATCCGCTGTAACTTCGTCCAGACAGCTCGCCAGTTTCCCTCGTTTATATGCTGACCTCGGGATTTTGTAGGGAAGTTCGACCCACCCAATCCTCTATCGGGGTGTAGTGGCAAAAAGGGATTTCCTGTTTTTAAACTGTTGTAATTTTTTTTTTATGTGAAATATATGTCAAATGTATCCATCGTGAATGATATCAAGTCACCTTGAGCCACAAACAACATTCCTGTTACAAGTTAGAAGCCGCAGTCAGTTTTTTGGGGTTTTTTTTGGCAGAGTTTAAATATCCTCTATGAATACGGTAAAAAAAATAAAAAAAATCTTGTTGACATTAAAAAATGTCATTTTTTAAGGACAGCAGACATTACAACAAATATGACAATAATTCTGTAAACATATTTTAAATTGCTAAAAAGTACTCGATTGCTTATAATGTAGGTATAATAACACAGAGTCATGAAGATACTTGAAAAAGAGGTAATTTTCACATTTTACACAGTATAGAATAGAATAAACCTTTATTTTCCCACGGATGAGAAATTTGGGTGTTACACAGCTCTTATAGCAAGGAGAATATAGAATATAAAAGGGAGACACAAAGTGTTCCTATATACATAAGCAACTGAAGTTCGTATATACATGTAACAATGTACAGAAATATGTATGGAAAAATTGCACAGAGCTATGTATAAAATGTACAGTGAGCAAACAAGCTGATAAGATGACCATATAACCTCTTTGTAAACCCTGTTCACTTTAGTCTATTTACCAATATAAGTAAAGACATTACATATAATAAAAACACATGTAAACACTGGAAATCACTTTTTGGCAGACAATCGGTTTTTGGCACGAGCTGCTGTATCCTCTTGGGGGCGGACCATGACGATGTCCTCCGAGTACAAGTGCAGTTTTCCCACAGTGTTTTGATCATGACACGTATTTAGCGCTGCTATGTTTGCTTTTTTTTTTTTAGTTATACCTGACTACCTGACCGAAAATAATACAAAGACAACATAAGAAAGCTAAAGTTTGTCATTCTCGCTTATTATGATCTCAGCTACTCTGTTTTTGGTTTTCCGATGCTTTTTCTCTCTGCTGTTTCCAACACTAATCTCTAAGCTGTTGTTTTTTTTTTGTCTTTTTGTTGTTGTTTTTTTTTGGGGGGGGGGGGGGGGGGCTTTTGTAGATATGATTTTTCTACAAAGAGTATTAGGAAAATATTTTTTTTGAGGGGAAAAAGAAGTATGTGGAGAATGCAGTTCTTCCACGACTGCCACGGCTCCTATGCCCTCTACAGTTTTGTGATACCATCAGCACAGACACATATTTAGAAATAATATAATCATTTTTATTGGAAAAGGGCGTAAAAACAAGGTACAAAGTGCTCACATGCTGTGCACAACAGTAAAGTCTAACTTTTCTGCTGATGTCTTCATTTCACAGCCTCTGCCTGCCCTGACAGTAAGAGTGGAGCTGCCAGTCACTGACACAGTTATAACATCACAACATCCCTTTTTTATTACATCAACAAAAGCACACGAATAATCATTTAAAGTATTACTGAAGAGTTGGTTCACACGAATACATTTGACACCAGGAGAGAAACTCCTTTGTTGGTACAGTATGGTGTTACGGTGGCACGCAGAAGGTTTTGGTTGCATTTGTTCAATTCTTGAGACATCTCTCTGAGCTTTTTACTTCCCCGCTTCAAACCTACAGAGAAATTTAGCTTGTGCATTTCAAAAGTTAAATGTAATAGCACTGACATTCCTATTGCTTTCTTCCTTTTTAAAAAACTTCAAACATACATAGATTGAGTGGGTTCAGATGTCCTCTCACTTCTCTGTGTTACAGGAATTTTAAACAAAACAATCTGCTGTTCAACATTTATACGCTCTAAAATTTAAATGGAGTGTCATTTACATATTTCTCTACTCTTACTGGCCACTTCAGAATAAGCTGCAATAAACCATACATTTGTTCTTTATCTGACATCCAAATTAGAAACACAAATGAACCCAAAATGCAAATGAACAGCTTACTTTAAGTTACTGTTGTTTAAACTGCATAGTTCCCTACTGCCAATTAGTGGTTCCCTTGTGTCATTGTTGTTTATTCGGCATAAACACCAAATAAAACGTGCATGAGCCATTAAAAATCTTATCAGGATTAGACTAAAGTCATTAATGACCAACATGGAGGCTCCATTCCACTACAGTTTGACAAAGGCAAAGAAAGTAGGCTGAGACAATGATCAGTGCAATAACTGATGATCCCTTCAGCTGATGATAGCTAATGATCCAAACACAGTATACCATCACCTCCCTTTTTATGAAAAAAAATTAAGAGCATACAAGATGCGATTAAAAAAAACAAACATTTAATACAACATCCTGTAACAGTTAAAAAAAAAAAATCAGTAATGCTTTTAAAAATAGGCTGCTTCTAATTTTAAAAGAAAAGATGATTAAAAATGACTTTTACCTCACAACTCTTGAGTTAAGTGATAGCAACAGTTGGATTATGACTCATAACGGGGGGCCGCTGTTGTCAATAATGAACAATACAACTCTGTGATCCAAACACTGCTTATGTACCATAGTGACACAAATAAACATCCTAGCAACTGGCATTAAATGACAAAGTAAGCGCTCGACTTGTCATACTGGCGTTTCAAAACCTGACTGTATGGAGTGTAGAGTGTGTGGCTGTGACAATAAAATGAAAACCAGTATGCTTTTGTTATTCAAACTGATCTACATTTAACTCGTTTAAAACTAAATTTAAAAAACTTTATATTCTCAAATTGTACAATCAAGCTGTTTAAAGTAGCACATACCTCTGAATGAAAACTGTAACTAACCATCAACCAGTTAAATTAGGAGACAAAGACAGAAATGACAGGTTTCAGTAATCATCCACCTAAGAAGGTCTTAGTGACTGCTTATCCCTTTCTGGCCAATCCCCCTCACAGGGATTGGTAGCCATCGGTCCTCCTCTTGCGGCTCACCAGATAGGCCACTACCACCACCACGATGAGCACCAGCAGTGCCACTCCCACTCCAATGGCAATCTTGTAACTACGCTGGTCCGCAGGACAGTAGTCACCTGGAAAACACACACACACACACACACACACACACTCCCATTTAAACAACATATCACTTTTTTAAGTGACCAGTTTTCTAAGAACTGATAAAATGTCAAATGTCACTTTTGGAAGATTGTGGATGTGTGTAACAGAGTTCAGTCAAACTGTCTGTTCAGGCTAAATTTTATTCTTCAATCCAACAACTGACAAAGATAATGGAGCATGAATGCGTTCCATGAAACGTAACTATTCTATGAAATCTGCTTAGGACTGTAGTTAAACCTGTTCTTCCTGAGCTGCATTCCAGAGCAGTCGACTGTCAAGCTGTCACGCAGCTGCTTTAGTTTCCACTGTTGGAAACTCTAATGATGAAAAGCCACTCACGAGGAAGTATCCGATTTTTTAAATTTCAACCGCGTGTGTTGTGCATTACATGTTTTTAAGGACTATTACTGATGCAGCAATGAATAATCACTGCTTCCTTGCTTTGGCTTCAGGACCTTGGTTTTTAACTTTATACACATTTTTGTATGCTGATCATATTACATCATTTGCTAAAATATTGTTTGGAGAATATTATTCAAATAGGATGTGTAAAGTTTAAATCCCCATGAAAGATAAAGTGTTTTAAGTCTGAAAGTTACGCATTGCTGTAAGAAATAAAGTCATTCCAAACCTGAGAATAAGAGACTACAACTTTTTGACTTGGAATGGAAAACATTTAGACTAGAATACTTCCAAACCTAGCTCGATGGACATTTCCTGCTTCCATTATTGTAAATGTACTGGTTCTTATATAGCGCTTTTCTACTCTATCAGAGAACTTTATACAACTTGCTTCATTCACACTAGCACTTTCTATGCTTTTTATACATAAGTGCTTACTATCTAACATACACACATTCCAATGTATAGAAAGCAACTTGGGGTTAGCATCTTGCCCAAGGATGCAGACTGGAGCAGCCAGGGATCAAACCACCAACCTCCTGTTTAGTAGCTAAGCAGCTGTACCTCCTGCGCTACAGCCATCCCAATACTGGCTCTAACAATGTTTTTAAGACTGAGGATGGTTTAATGATTAGTTGTTCTTCACAGGGACACTTACGATCGCCAAAGTTGTTCTTGGTCAGATTGAAGGCTTGCGTTCTGTCAGAATTTACATCCAGGGACAGGTCGTTGCCCATGTAAATAGAATCAGCGCTGCAGGAGTAGGAGTGTCCAATCTGTGCAGGGAACAGATGGACTGACTTGTTGTTGGCATTGTAAGTTGTACCTGCAAGTGTGAAATAGAAAGACAATTTTTACAGACCGATAATCAAGTATCGCGACAATCGAGTTAAACAATATTACACTGAAAGTAGTAGCATGACATGCTTAACAGTAACTCCACAGGTCTTGTCTGTATATTGTTGAGCAGGCACACAAACAAGGAAACAGCAGCTTGTGTTCTTTCTGTGTTTACCATCCATGTGCAACACTTACCTGTAGCTAAAGTATCAGGGGACATCCAGTGAGTCCAAACTCTCATCAGTGAAAATGTTACGAAATAAACATTGACTTACCGTTTGTGGTTAAAGGGTAGTTCAAGCTGAAAGACACGGCATCAACGTAGACGGTGTTATTAGGAACACTCTGAGGAATTATAACAAACAGGGAACCTTTTACAATGTAACACTGTGTCCAAATGTGACATTTTGGTTTTCGTTTTACTGAATCCACTGAACATTTTTCTGGGTCAGAGAGTTTCTGTGCTCATTTACAACAGATAAACAGGTTTCAGCACGTACACATGCTGCTAGCATTTGAATTTGAAGTGTGAAACAGGAAACAGCTCATCCGACCAGTTTGACAACGTATTACTGTTTTCCTCTTAACCCCGGACACATGCTTGAGACCAGCCTACATAACAAAGCAATCTACTATTCCTGGCTGTCGTGTCTGAGCTTTTCTATTTAAAATCTGGTTAGCCAGGCTAACCACTACAATCTAATATTTAATATGATAGCACTATATTAAAGTATATTATATTACTACCGCAGTAGATACTCCATTACAGAACAGACTACAGAATAAAAAAAAAACAACCCTCACTTTAAAAAAAAGAAAGAAAATGAAAGTAACCCAGAGTCCCAGAAGCTTTGGTCAGCTTTGACTCTGAAAACTGAAAGCTGATTTTCAGCAGTGTGTCTTTCTTTATTGTGATATTATTGAGACCAGTTCACAAGTGGGGCTTTTATTAAAAGCTGTTGGATCTTTTTATGCTTACAGTAAAGTTGCCACCAGGAGCAGCATGCACTTCTACTAAGCTAACATTTATATTGGAGGCAAACTAATTACAAATGTTTCCTTCTATCTTTATTTTTTTCTGGCTATGAATCCATATTGCATCTTTGAAAATGATAACTGATGCACGCTCAATCCTCCAACAAAGGAAATCCCAGACAGTTCATTCTTTCGTGTGCCCACACTGTATGGGGGTTGTGGAAGCACAATCAAAGAGACAGGGGAAGTCACTTGGATGAGTGCGAAATATCTTGAAACATTTCTCTCGCTGGAAACACAATGTTCAAGTGAACAGAACCAACTCTCTGGGATAATAAATTCAAATCGATTAATTTTTGTGCATAATAAATATGACATAAGGACAACCAGGCTGCAGTTGGTGGTATAATTACACCTCAGCTGTATATTTTATTTGACATAAACACTTTAAGTGTTCAGATAGACTATCACTTACAAAACCACAGAATGAATCACATGGATGCAGTAGGGCGAAGCCGCCTGATGTAGTTTCCCTATGGGCTACTTCTCTTTTAACACTTCTGCAATTTATTTCGCTTGACTAGTATTTCCAGCTTACATAGATTTACTCGTCAAGGAAACTGTTAACACTCTGAAGTGCTAACCCTAATCCTACATCTTGGAAAAATGTGGAACAGACTTTTTTTTGGAAATGTGATTGTTTGACGTTAGAGTGATTATTTACTTTGTTTCCTGAAACTTAGAGCTCAGTTTAATAAAAACAGAAATTACACATTCTGATTGCCCATGGTTGAGACCAATAAGGTGTCTATCTGTTTATCTTATCCTAAGATTGCAAAGTTAGGGTTGTCATGACTTGGACGTCAGAGGTTGAATTGACGTTCTTGTCATAAATGTGCAGGATAGGGTAACTGTGGTAATTTCAGGTTAAGATGAATGATTGGCTGACCTCAGCACCTCTTTAACCACCTCATTTTGATCTTATAATGCTGTATATGTCACAGGCTTTGGGAAAAGAGTTCACCAAGTACCTTGGTGAAGCTGAAGTTAATGAAGCCCTCTTTAAAGGAAATCTTAAGGTTGGCGCTGTTTTCATTGCAACTTCCACTAGTACTGGTTAGATGTGGCTGAACAATGAAGATTGCCTGGGAATAAACAGAGAAGAACAAATGGTAAATGGCCTGTATTTATATAGCGCTTTACTAGTCCCTAAGGACCCCAAAGCGCTTTACACAACCAGTCATCCACCCATTCACACACACATTCACACAAAGACAATTCGTTTAAGATAACAAGGCAGCAGCAGACTTTCTTTAAAGAAACTCTAGTTCATGGGTCATGTAAGTTACCCGATTGTCTTGTTACACAAACACTGGCAATATTTAACCATTTACAGTAACAAAATGAGGAAATTAAACTTGCATGATAGCAAATTCTCTCTTCCTGAAGACTGCTGACAACTGAATCACTGAAAGCTGAGTCACATCCTCGTGCTGGACTCATTAGGATGTATTGCTAATAGAATATCTATATGCTATGTTAAGACTAATTTACATGCCACAAAACAAAAAAACAAACAAAAAGAAAACAAAAAAGCTAGACAGTTGATATTAAGAAACCTACATTTGTTGATACTTTTCGGATCTGCAGCGCCATCTGAGCCCTCAGGCAGGTCTCACTTTTATTTTTTGTGATATTGTAGTATCCTACGGTCAAGCCAGCGGAGGGTCTAGGTGTGGGCGTTGGTGAAGCCGTGGTAGTGGTGGTGTTTGGAGGCTTGGTGGTGGTGGTGGTTGGAGCCTTGGTGGTGGTGGTGGTTGGATGCTTGGTGGTGGTGTTTGGATGCTTGGTGGTGGTTGGAGGCTTGGTGGTGGTGGTTGGATGCTTGGTGGTGGTGTTTGGATGCTTGGTGGTGGTGTTTGGATGCTTGGTGGTGGGTTTTGGAGGCTTGGTGGTGTTTGAACTGTCAAATTGACTTGCAGGGGCGACAGTTGCTGAAGGTTTGGATTTGTTTGTGTCTCCAGCCAATGACAGCGCTTGTGGGACAAAGAAACAAAGAATCCTTTTCAGCATTCATACTAATTCCAGACTAAATGAACTCTTACTTTACTGTTGCTGTATTAGCTGACTTTTAGTTACTTTGGGCTTCGCTAAGAAAACACAAACTTTCTTATTGCTTACATTTTTGCTTAAATAAGTTCTGGCTATGTATTTATTCACACGGTAGTTTTATCATTACATTTAATGATATTAAATGAAATGAAGGTCCAATGTGCTTTCATTACCAGCTGCTCAAACTACTGTTTGATGGGATCAAACAGTAGTTTGAGTAGAGTACAGTGGGATTACTCAAAGCTTCTATGATGGAAATGTGTGTGTATGTCTTTTCCCTTTCTGCTCTCTATTATTAGTCTGTATATCACTTTGGTCAACCTGAGTTGTTTTTAAATGTGCTTATAAATAAATTGACAAGATATCAGTATAAACGGTCTCTGCACATTAAACAAAATAATTTCATTACAAATCAAGCAATCGATTTTCTTGACTGATCAATTAATCAATAAAATACGAATAGTGAAGTTATAAACTTTAAGGTAGGTTTAAGGTTTGTATTCGGTTGCGGAAATCATGTTCTAAAAACAACAGCTGTCATCTGTCAGCAGACATGTGACTCGGTCTTGCAACAATATCGAAAGACAAATTTCTGTCTCGCCCACAATCTAGGAAGTCCCTGTGAAGTAGAGTTTCACATACATTGTATTTCATGACAAACTCCGTGGGTAAGCACACACAGACAAAGCCCCATTTTGAGCCTTTTTGTTTATATATTATATAACACAGTATCTTTGTAGACTCTAAACACTTACTGTGGCACTTGAGCACAAAAATAACAGCGAGATCTGACGTGAGTTACGCCTTTCTTTTTCATATATGGATCTCGTTTATTTTAATATTAGTATTGTTTAGGGGTCTTACCTGAAAGCGCACAGCACGCGATAAAGACAAAAACAGCAGTCCTCAGCATGATGGCAAGTGCAGAGCAGTGGGGAACCAGGAGCTTTGGAGCAATGCTGTCGCGCCTCCACCTATAAATACCTCACTTTTCAAGCAGCAGGAAGTCCATGCTTAAAAAAATAAAAGCATCCGTATCCGCAGTCAGCGCTGAAAATGTACTATTCTGAGTAACAGCTTCTCATTCAGTAATTTTTTTTTTCCGAAATAGGGCAAGCTGCCCTTGCAGTACTATAGTGCAAACCCCAACAATTAGACAGTCCTTGAGCGACGGTGGTGAGGAAGGACTTTCTTCTTATTTATTTTTTTTAGGACGAGACCACCAACAGAACCAGCCTCGTAAACAACGTGAAATTAAGGAATTACAAAATCCATTCTAGTAGTATACAAATAATAATAGTTTTTTCTACAGGCACTTTACTTTAAAGTTACGTTTAAAATGTGCAAAGTATCACTATGCTTCCCACTTCAAATTGATGTTTTGATAAATTATTAAATAGTATTCCGTTCTATATAATGAAATGTGTTTTGTTTAAAATGTAAGTTTTAGAGTGTGATCATGCGTGGAATTAATATTGTAGATGAATTTAAGTTTAAGAAGAGGTAGACAGAGAAATTAGTTAATTTTTTTGGCCTCTCCTGAAGGCCAAGAACAAATTTAATTTCCCAAGTGGACCGTTACGGCTTTTAGCTATACTGGTCCACTTGATAGTTATAGTCTACTGGATTTTTATTAGGATTTTTTTTTTTATTGTCGGTTATTACAGTCAGAACTGACAGAAATTTTGTGAAGAGAGAGAGAGAGAGAGAGAGAGAGAGAAAGCGAGAAGACACTGAAAATCTGCTTCATCGCCTGCTAACACCCCCCCCCCCCCCCCCCCAAAAAAAAAAAAAAAACACATTAGGGAAACCACAGCAACAACCACCATATGCAAAAGTAACAGTAACTCATGAATATAAAATTTTTATGAGCAACACACAGTATTAATAATGATATGTTTAGAGGCAGCAGCCAACCAATATAGCTGCATTTTACCACAGCCAGGAACGGGGATTTGACTTGTTCTGCAAGGAAACGTGAAGTATGAATTTTATTTTGAAAGCATCAACAGACAGAATAATTACGAAGATTTAAAACTTCAGAAATGAGCAACAGCAAGGAAACGAAACCAACAAGACTGCTAGCAGGAGGGAACCCACAGTCTCAGCGCTAACAGAAAGGTCGATGAGTAAAACAAAACTCCAGATTTCTGTCTGACACTCACAAACACTCTCTTAAACGGCTGCTAGCAGTTCGCTTTGATCTGATCGGAGCGTCATTATCAGTAGTTATAATTGGCACGTTAGTAGGAGGGTAATGCTGCAAGTCAACATGCAGGTTGTAGGCTAGTACAATTATTATTACTGCTAGTAGAAACTAATACTATAAACAGCATAACTGCAAGTATTTTAGCCTTAGTAATAGCAGTAGCTATAGCGATAGGACTTTATATTAGTGGTAAAAAAAAAAAAAGTGTTGTTATGATACTGACGGATTATTAATACAAAGCAGTAAGAATTAAGGTTGCCATAATTAAGCTAACATAACTTAAATCTAATGACAGTGCAGTAGTTATGAGCAGTGATGGTACAGAAGGTTCTAGTATTAACTATATAATCAAAGTTCAATACACACTCCAGGTCAAAAACAGAGAGAACAAACACAAATAATGACATGCTACGGCACATATACTTAACACAAACATGGCTTTAAAAGAATATAAGTATAAATACTGTGTCCTACAGAGTGAAAGGTGCACTTAGTGTAAATATAAATGGTTAACTTTCTGACTGTTAGCATAAATAGACAGAACATGTCATGTGACACGAAAAGAGGAAATAAGGTGGTTCCCAGAAACACACAAGCAGGTGACACTGCCAGTCATCCTCGTGACGCTTCAGGATTGCATTGAATGCACCCAAACATGTTAGTTTTTCTTTTTACATTTACAATCAGTGAAGTTACAGGTAACTGCACAAAAACCTCACTGAGGTTAAGATAGTGAAATAACTCAAGTATAAGCTGGCATGGCTTAACTATAAGTTCTGCATGTTCTGTGCATCATCAAACATACATTTTCTAGACAATAAAAATCCAACAAAAAATCAAACAAACCAGCTGCATTGTAGGAAGTAGAGGCGTGTTAATCCCCAAGGCAGGACACACACGCATGAATGTCAGACTGCAATACTCTTGCTAGTGCAGAAGATTAGGGAAAAGTCATTGAAATGATAAAAGTAGGAACATTTGCATACTGATAGATTTTTCTTTTCTCTTTAATTTAAAAACTGGACAAACATAATCTGCCCAAAACTGTGCCTGCCGTGTTGTTATTAAAAATGACTGCCATACAAAATAAAAGATTATATTTGCAATATTTTGAAAGACACAGACATTCAAGTAACCTTTGACAAAACGTATATGTGTTCACCAGTGCCACCTTATGATGAGTTGGTGCTCCTCCCTCAGCAGAGAAGGCTGCAATTAACAAGGGGTACCCTGTTGTGTTTTCTGATTTTTAAAGAAATCCTGATTTTCTCCAGATTTAATTCATGTATGTTAGTAATCACAGCTACTACATCATTGGTACCTTTTTAACGGATCAAGACTTTCTTGTGGCCATTTTTTAAACAATAGATGTGAGATAGGCCTCATGTTAGTTTCTTTATGACCCGCAGTTGTTTGCACTTTTAGACCTGTGGTGAGCGTACAATGTTCACTACAAAGATAGCCTCGATGGGTGATGGCCAGACGGTTTTAAAGACAACTGTTTTCAACGCTCAGTGTTTCATATACAACCCTTATTATTGCAGGGTCTTTACCCAAAAGCCTCTGTTGTGGTGTTTTGATGCTATATTAATAAAACTGAATAAACAAAAATTGAAATTGAACCCAATTGCAAAAAACTTGGGATGCTGTGAAAATTGTGAATTCAATTTAATTTTATTTATATAAAACAAAAGTTGCTTAAATGCACTTTATATTTTAAGATAAAGGCCCTAAAATAATGCAGTGAAAACCCAACAATTAGATGACCCTTGGTGACAATGGGAAGAAAAATCTCCCTTTTAACAGGAAGTAACCGCAGCAGAACCAGGCTGAGAGACAATTCAAAATATCAACTCCTTTTGAATTTGAGCAACACGTCTAAAAAAACAGGAGGAACATTTTAACTAGATTCACTGGCAACAGGTAGTAATATGATGAGATGCCAAAGAACATGTTAGAGAAGAAAACCCTTTAAACAAAAAACATACTTCACATTTTTAGTACATCTGGGTATTTAACTTTAAAACAGTACCACAGTACCTAACGATGGAATATAAACTCCTTCCTCTTTGAGGCTAACAAAATCTTTTATCAATTATTCTAATGCAGCACTTTTCCCCCTTTTTGTTATATCATCAGCCTTGAAGAGAATGGCATGATAGATTTCCACAATATATTTTAGTAATCTTTTTTTTTAATGGTTTTAGTCTTGGCAATTTATCAGAACAGATTTTCTATTTTATGAGCTGGTTAGAACGCTTCCTGAAGATCCAAGGACACAATTTAAAGATTTGTCTTGATGCATGCTCAATCATCCACGTAAGGAAATCCCAAAAAGGTGATTCTGTTTATCTGGAAAAAGTGTTTTCAGTGGGAGAAACATTTTATAACTCATTCAGTCTCAGCTGACTGCAGGTTTCCCCAACTTTATAAAGAGTATATTTGCATAATGACTGAAACTACAAGCACTAGCAAAGCAAAAGGCTGTGAGGGCAGTTTCTTGATCATTAATATGTAAATTGTCATGATCAGTGGTGAAACACTAATCACCAATGATCATTGATTGACCATTGATCGGTGGCCATGAGTCCCATTCACAGAGAGTTGGGGAATGGCTGCAATCACAGCATTATAAGATGGTAAGATGATAACCCTTAGGCCCCCTCCTTGATTCAGAGATGGTCTTTCCCTTTTCACGTAAATGTAAAAGTTTTTGTCAGGGTGAGATGAAGTAGGACCCAAAATTGCACATGCAGAGGGAAAAGGAGGTTTAACTAAAGGCGAGCACTTTAATGAGCTGAGAAGTAACCTTGACATAAGAAGAAATACAAAACAAAACAGGAAACTAAAAAAAAGCTGATTATAGCAACTCAGGTATGGATGCAGAGACAGACAGAGCTTGACATAGACAGACATGATTGGGGATGCTGGGAAGGAGGAGCGGGATTTTGAATTCAATTCTGAATTTCACAGAGAGCCAATGAAGCCAATACAGGAGAAATCTGCTCTCTTTTCTCGTCCCTGTCAGTACATTTTGGATTAACTGAAGGCTTTTCAGGGAGTTTTTAGGACTTTCTGATAATAATGAATTACAGTAGTCCAGCCTGGAAGGAATAAATGCATGAACTTGTTTTTCAGCGTCACTCTGAGACAGGATATTTGTATGCTGCGCTACATATTTGTTTAATATGTGCATTGAAGGACATGCCCTGGTCAAAAATGACTCGAAGATTCCTCACAGAACTACTGGAGGCCAAGGTAATGCCATCCGGAGGAAGTATCTGGTTAGATACCATATTTCTAAGAATTTTAGCAACAAGTAGTTTTATTTGAATTTAGAAGCAGAAAGTTAGCGGCCATCCAGGTCTTTATGTCTCTAAGACATTCCTGCAGTTTAACTAATTGCTGTGTTATCTGGCTTCACGGATAGATAGTGTGTCATCTGCATAGCAGTAAAAATGTATGCTATGCCTTCTGATGATACTGCTTAAGGGAAGCATGTAAAATGTAAACAGAACTGATTCATCTGAACCCTGTGAAACACCATAATTGACCTTAGTGTGTGAAGAGGACTCTCCATTTACATGAACAAATTGGAGTCTATTAGATAGATATGATACATGATGGTTTAACTACTGCTAGACTGAAAGCCTGTGGTGCATAGCCGATTAATTGAGATAGGTTGGTCATATTTAAGATTGACACATTAATTAATGGTACGACTTTTTTGAGGTGTTCTTGTAGAAATGGGGTCGAAAAAATG